TGATGGGTTGCTTGGGCATAAAATTAAGTAGAGGTTATGCAAGATGAGGAACTCCTAAAAAAGGAAGAATATAATGAAATATTGTTTTGAAAGGTTCAATACCTTGATCTCCTTGTAAGAATGCTTGTATTAGTGGAAGAATATTGTCACAGAAAAGAACATACTAATCAGGCATTGATGAGGATTATTGTGCTTTCTTATTCTTCATCATCAAAAGCACCAGGAAGAAAGATTTTGCAACTGACATATTGAGGTCATGGAGGAAAAATCATTTGATGATTGAGGCATGATTGCATTTGAATTCTTTTTTATGAGTAAAAATATTTTCGAAGGAAATTAATGTGGGCTTTAATCTTGGACATTAGTTTTAACATCACATACGGTTGACCTCTGTGATATGCACAAATGTATAGTGTTTTTAGGTATCATAATTGTTAGTTTATCATTGATTAGAGGAAATACTCTCGAAGCTGTCAAGACAAAGACCGATAAAAAATATTTAGGAAACTTAAATGCTACATATATTAAGGTATACTAATAGAACAAAGTTAGATTCCTTGTATGCCTATAAACAGGGCTTGTGAGAGAAAGCATGAGTGAAGAAATTCTTGTACCAAGAATTTTAAAAGAATTGCCTGTTTCGAGACCTTACAATTAATAGTCACCTTTTTTATTTCTTTATCTTTTCCTTCTCAATAAAACCTTGATCACTCATATTAGTTTTATTTCATTCATCCTCCTTGCTCGATCACTTAAAGTAACTCTTGGTGTCTATCTCAACTTAGGTATTTCACGACACTAGCAGAAATATTTGTTTTAATTCTATTCGTTAACCTACTTAAAAAAAGAAACCTAAGAAGGGAAATAGAAAATCGAAGGGTTCGAGTGGAGTTGAAATCCTTTAAATGGTCTACTGACATGCCAATTATATTTAGTGTTCTCTTCAGGAAGCTCATGTGGCTCAACATTTGGTGATGTAGACTAAATAGCAACATAAGAATAATTAATGACAACTACAACATTAAACATTATATCTCTTCTACTGTTTAGTTTGTGGTGAAATTATAGGATTTTCATGGGACTCTGCTAGAAGTTGGCAGCTTGAAGTTATGTCCCTCAACAACTAAGAATGAGCTTGGAAACATGTGATCACTGATTGATTTTAATCACGACCATTTAAGTACAACTTAGGAAGTGATGATTTTGAAATTTTTGGACGAAGTGGCTTTGTCCTTGGTATACGCTTCAAGCAAACAACCAATGGTGAAGATGCTCGAGCAAGTGATCTGAAGGAAGTCATAGGGACTTCTTTGGAAGCTTTTGTTGGGGTTCTTAAGCATACAACTTCATGGAAGCCATGCAAGAATTTGAACTCCATACAATGAAAAAACACCTTAAGAAATTCAAAGTCTTTGGCTCCTCGCTTGCAAGAATGCGTGTATTAGAGGAAGAATCTTGTTCATAATTGAGACCAGACTGATCAAGAATTGTTGAAGATTCATGTGCTTTCCTATTTCTCATCTTCAAAATCTCTAAAAGGGAGAAAGATTGTCAGGCTCCATGGCATCAATAATTTGTGATCGTGTCACAGTGTTGAGGATGAAAGAACGATTTGATGATTAAGGCATGGTTACTTTTGAATTTTTTTCAATGAATAAAGTCATTTTCAAAAAGAATTTTTGGGAATTGGCAAGACAAGGTGACATCGGATCGGAGGGGGCTCGACGAATCCACGTCGACGATCCAGTGACGGTCGCCGGACACCACTCCAAGAACTTCTTGGAGGAAGGATCCACCACCTAAGAATCAGTCTTAGGATACAGGAAAACACAAGAGACTAAACTCAAATATTATTCATCTCCAAATCTCCCAATACAAGCATTGTCTACAAGTATATATAGACAAATATTGAAACATAAAAGGCTACACTCAATAAAAGAAAGCAATATTCCTATATAGCCTTATAAAATACTGGAATTAATGTAGCCTGAAGTTTAACAGGTTTTAACAACTCAGCTCCGGCGTCATTCTACCTGGGTTGGAGGAACTTCAGGCTCGTGGAAAGATGTCCGGTTGGCCGCCATAAGGAGGCGGGTTTGGTTGGCTAAATCGGTCTGGGTATTTCCACCTGGTGTCAAATTGCTTACCAATCTTCAATTTCTTAAAGGCAACATAAGCAGATGGAATACCTTTGTTTGGTACTCCAATTCTTGCATCTTCTGCTGCCCCAAGACCAACGACTCCCAGACCAATACAATGCACACTTTCCTTGCATTCTCCTGTGAAGATATGAAGAACATGGTCTCCTTCCTTGAGTTTATTAACACCCCAGCCATCATGAACACATTCAAATGCAGAAATCATGGCATCAACATTTCCAATGTATTCGACACTTCGGTCGACTCCACCATTATTCTTTTCTGCAATGACCTCTTGAATTGGCTTGCTCTTATCATCTTTATCATCTGTGGGTTGCTCCAGATCAAGAACTCCATCGAACATGTCGTCATCATACACGTCGTATACAGGCTCATCATTGAGAGGCAAAGACAACGAGTTCAGCAACGGAGCTTCAAATTCTTCAAAGTTGAACTCGATCGAGAGTGGAGTGGAAGAGATCTTATCATCTGAAAAGCCCTCGTCGTCATCATCGGTCCGTAAGGATTTAGTTGGAATGAAGGATCTTGAATCCATCATGGGAGCATACTTGTCCCATGGTCGGAAGCCATCAACATGTTGGGGAGTGCTTGAGTCTGTCCTTCGCTCAAGCCTTGACAATCGTCGTTTGAGTCGAATAATTTATTGTTGAAGATCTTCTATTTATGTTTGCTGCAACGTTTGTTGAGGCATCTTGCTTCTACTCTTCAAGAACCTACCAAATCTGATCTCGCCTGGGATAGAACTATGTGGAAGAAATTCTTGAACGGCACTCAAATCTTCACGGGAAGAGATCTCTTGAGAACAGAAACTCTCAAAAACAGATTAATCTCTTGTTTTCTTTCGAAATAAAATGCTGCCTCTTGCTCTTGGCGAAGGAGCTTCGTCCGATTCTTGTGCACACAAGAAAACCACCAAAGCCGATTCGCCACCAAAGATCAGGACGGGATGAATGAGACGCCTAGCTGAACTCGTCGGACCTTGGACGACCTCCGACTTGGCTTCTTCCGGCACTGGGAACACTGGGATCTACAGACTGCTGGACTCTGTCTCACCACCTAGAAATATAAACCAAGATACAGCAAACAGAGGACACTCCAAGAAATTGGAGATCAACAACTTTTCTGGTTTCTGTCTTGAAGTATGCCGAATCTTGCAGTTCAGCCCTTTGCGTGACAATCTGCTTGTGATGAAGAAAGAACAATGGAGTAGAAGAAGAACAGCAGGTTGCTGCGGTTAGCTGTTGGCAAGTGATGAGGATTGGGACCCCGGCAACGTCAAGGAGCTGCCGTCGGTGATGCCAGCATTTTGTCAGATCTGATACCAAATGACACCGGATCGGAGGGGGCTCGACGAATCCACGTCGACAATCCAGTGGTGGTCGCCGGACAGCACTCCAAGAACTTCTTGGAGGAAGGATCCACCACCTAAGAATCACTCTTAGGATACAGAAAAACACAAGAGAGTAAACTCAAATATTATTCATCTCCAAATCTCCCAATACAAGCATTGCCTACAAGTATATATAGACAAATATCGAAACATAAAATGCTACACTCAATAAAAGAAAGCAATATTCCTATATAGCCTTATAAAATACTGTAATTAATATAGCCTGAAGTTTAACAGGTTTTAACAACTCAGCTCCGGCGTCACAAGGGCCAAGCCATATTGTTTTAGCATCAAAGGGAATTGATGTGAGCTCTAATCCTCGTCATTAGTTTTAGCATAACATATACCAAAGTATAGATTGTCTAGGTAACATAATTATTATTTCGATGACCCGATTAGGAAAGTAGATGTTTTAGATTTGACTATTGTTAAGAAAGGTAGAGGTAAACCTAAAATGACTTTGTTAGAAAATATTAGAAATGACTTTTTTTATTGGAGTTAAATGAGAATTTGACTCTTAACCGGACACCATGGAGAAAAATGATTCATGTAGCAGATACCACATAGTGGGATAAAGACTTGATGTTGATTTTGATGTCATAGTAAAATAACTTTCCTTACGGTATAGACCAGCCTTACCATAATCCTGTTTCTCTGAACTATTGCACCTATGTCAAGGCTACTGCATGTAGAATGATAAGTTGCATTTCAAGAAATGTTTCCGTTTGAAATATTTTTCAAAGAATAATATTGCCACTTTTATTTAGTTTTGACAGAAGACTGCATTGCAAAATATTTTCTATCTTTAAATCATCCCTTTGAAATACTGATATGGATAAATGAACCAACACCTTCCTATTATTGCATGATCAACTAAGGACTACATTCCACCTGTAACCTCTCTACGTATTTTTATATTTGCAATTTATATTGTTTTATATTAAAGCTATTTTATAGAAATAATCAGCTATTAAAAAATAATGTTTGGATAAAAAAATTATACTATTTTTCTGTTTTTATCAAAAATTACTTCAAAAAATTTATTTTTGAGAAAAAAAGAATGAAAATGATAAAAGAGAAACAACTTTTACAAATTCTGACAACAAAAATATAAAAGCATAAGCTGCCCCCAAACAAATTCTATGAAAGTTCCCCATAGTTCTGGCTAAGATAGCATTGAGTTTGGGTTGGGAATACTAATCATGATATGCAGGTTTTCCAAACTATTGCAGAGTAATTTACAATTTGATCCCCAAATTCGAAAATCTTCATCTTCATTCTCTAATTTAAACATTTTATTGTTCCATAATTTTGTTTTCTCCTCATGAATCCCTCAAACTGCATAAAAATTCATTTGAAAAACTACAGATTTTTTTTTCTTCCAGAATTAAATTTCAATTATCTCAGATAACTACTGCTCTGGTTCACTAACCTGATCATAATTCTTCCAGCATCTACAGTTAACCAAGCGAAAAGATACGAGTTCCTTTCAGGTATCATAAACTGGAGAAATTATTCTGTGCGGATATCTAACGCAGCTCTACATCCGGAGGCGAATCAAGTGCAACCACGTTAGCGGTATCGAGCTGCGGTATAACGAAAGGGTGATGTGGCGTATTCTGATTGGTCTCCGGATGACGTTCGGCATCCTCCGGATGACGTTCGGCATCCGCACAGAATAATTTTTTCATAATAAAAACTGATTACAGAACTGATTTTCCTTACAGTATCATTTACAGTTCTGCTATGTTTTCTTTGCTTTTTTAATGTTCAGATTTCGCTCCTGAGAAGATAAGAGCTGAAGACGCCTTGAAGTCAAGGTCTTTGATTGAAGCAGGAACATAGAAATATGAGGCCAAATCATCTCCTCATAAAAAAAAAAAAAAAAATTTCTTTATGAGTCTCTTATGAGGTAAGGTAAGATAGATTTCCATTAAGAAATTTTCTGTGGATCTCTCATATTTTGATATTTAAATATTTGGCCTGGAAAACGTTAAGGTTCAGTCCAAGCATGTAAGTCTTTGCCGTGGAGAAAAGCTTGGCCTCAGTTTTTAATGCTAATGTGGTCAATTTGATGTCTTAATCATTGATGTTGACATACTACCTTAAAGCTTATGTGACATTTCAAAGGAATATAGGGTTCAAATTGTTAAAAGATTTAATATGTTCATAAATTTGTCTTGCTATTTGGAGCTATATGTTAGTTTGTTATTATTTTTGTGTTTATGCAAATATTAAATTATCATGCTTATTTGTGAAATTATAATATTTATTTCGTTAATTAAAAAAATTAATAATTTTTAAATTCATATGGATATAGTTTGTTTAAATTATTTTAATACAAATTTTATTTAAAAGTGTTGTTGGTTAGTTGTATATATTGCTTAATAAATGTATTTGTTATATGCTCATATTTGCTTATTAATGATTAATTAATATGCTTCTATTTATGTGGGTTGATATTAAGTCAATTTTACAAAAATTAAGAAATTAAAATTTTTAATTTTGGATTGAGCCAAGTATTGAGTAAAAAAAAAGGATGTATTTTGAGTAGGAATAAAAAAAAGGATGTATTTTGAGTAGGATTACTGCTTAATTTGCTTAAACAATATTATGTTAAATGAATATTTATTCTCTAATTAAAGTTACTTTTATTAAAAAAAGTATTTAAATTACTTATAAATGCATAGTAAAAGTTCATTATTTTACATCAAACATAGTCAATATCATGTTGATATAAATTTATTTTAAGTGATTAATCTTTAATTAAATTATCTTAGTTTAGTATATTAAAATTTGATTAATTATTGAGTAATTTTTAATTCCATCTTGTATATATAAACAATGTGAATGAGGAGTTAGGCTTTGTTTGGAGTAGTTTTCGTACTATTTTACAAAATAGTTTTTTAGTTTTTTTTTTTTGAAAAAGAATATTTTGTACTAAAAATCAGTTTAGAAAGTAGTAAGAAAGCTATTTCAAATGAAATATTAACGTGCGAGTCACTATCTTCTTCAACATTCAATTCAACTCTCATTGTCATCCCATCAAGATAGATCAACAGTAACTTATGAAACTATGTCGCCTCAAAGGTTTTGATTATATGAAAAACAATTATTGTAATATGTTATTCAACTTCAAACCTATGATCAATGATTGCAATAATTGATATCAAAGTGAAAATGTGATATGACTTAAAGGCCCCTTTATATTGATTCATTATTTTTTTTTTTTTAATATTTTCTTAATCTTAACATCATAATTGATTTCTCCCACTAAGGGCATGCATAATTACATGCCTTTGGTTGGTTGGCTATTTGGTTGAGAAGGGAAGGGAAAATGATTTCATCTTAGGAAATTAACTAGTATAATTCATAGCCTTTTGACTTTAGGCTAATGTGATTTAAAGTCATTAATATATATTTTTATATATTTTTAAAGTTATATTATCACTCTTATATGTACTAAAATTATATGTATTTAAAATATGATATTTGTAATATATTGGATAATAAATTATTAATTTCTTGACATGTTATGCATAATTTATAACTTTAAATAATTAAATAACTATATTTATGTGTTATGTAAGTACATTTGATATTTTATGTATCTATATTCATATGTATGTTTGTATGTTTATTTTAGAAATAGTTATAAATGTATAATATGCCATAGTTGTTTGTTGTTTTATTGTTTATGCTTATATATTTAAAATGTTTTTTTTATTACATTCTCTTGGGCTACTTCTTTGGACCTTATTAGCGCTATTAATAGACAAAAGTGGTCAAACATTGCTTATAGAATTATCACACCAAATCTTAAATTTTCTACGTGTTTCTACAAAGACATTTTTTACATTCTCCATATTACATAATATCGATCTCCGTCTTATCAAATGAAAAATTCTCGATGGAAAAGGGTGAAAAGCTGTCTGAAGTTTATGGTAGCTTTTTCGGCCTCATGCCCATCGAAAATCATCGGCGGACATTTATGACTATTTGACAATCATTCATTTCGCTGGAAATTCCAATGACAATTGCTAATTTTTTGCCGCTCCGTCCATCACTCTCAAGGAAATCAGAATTCGCTGGAAATATTTTCCAACAGAGAAATTGTCGTCTCATTTTGTTTCCTACGGGGCTTTTACCAACGGAAAAACTTCTGCCAGAAACGTCCAAATCCACCTCAACATCAGGAAATTCTACCGAAAAAATCAACCGATATTAGACGTTTTTCCTTGTAGTGTCTCCATCTCATGAAATGAGAAATTCATTGGATTACACAACATGCATGGGAAATTATATATTTTAACTCATGCCATCAATATATCCCACATTTATTATCCTAAAGTATCACATTTGCACATTTCATTTGAATTAATTTTTAAATCCATCTCAATTTAAAACAACTTTGACTTCTAACTCAATCTAAAATCAAAAATTTTAACCAAGTAAATTTGTCCAATCTACATTCCACCAAGGTGTTGCGGACACGTAACTCCCTTTGATCTATTGGTTTGGAGTTTTAACTATCAACTAAGAAGTCTTAGGCTTCGTTTGCGACGATTTTTTATTGCTTCTTAAAAGCTAAAACTGATTTAAGAAGCAGTAAAAAAATCGTCCTAAATAAAATCTTAAATTCAAATATTACTTATGTGAATTTATCTTAATTATCCTTTAAAAAAAATTTATAGCAGCCGATTGGCCGCAAATGGTAACGCCAATCTGTTCATGGCCGCTTGCTAACTCCTCCGTCGCGCATGGCATTGAAAAACAAGACGCAAAAACGTGCCGTGCTGAGCCTTCTGAGCCCCTTCTTTATTACTTGCTGAACAACCACTTCATCCAGACAAGAAAGCTATTGCCATAATAAATAATAATAATAATAAATACCTTAACCATCAAATATACAGAAACAAAATAAACAAATAATGAAAATTAAAATACTTTTTAAAATAAATATTTTTTTAATATTTTATCAAAGTCATTTTAAAAACATATTTATACACTAATTAAGATGATTATATATATATATATAATTATTTTTTAACTTTTATTTATTGTGTGGGGCAAGCAAAGCATTATGAAGTAGGAGAGTAGATAAACTACAACCATTATAAGGAGGAAGAAATAATATTTAATTGTGATTATGGATTAGAGAGTTTTATAAGTGATTAACATCATACACAATTATGAATATATTTTCTAATTTTTTAAGAAAAATGAATTACACAAAATTATTCAAAATATGATGAAAGTATATAAAAAAAAAGAATTAAAATTTTATTTTCTTATATTGATTTTTTTTCATTAGGATGAGTTTTAAATTTTAATATGAAAAAAATGTAACATAATTTTATTTCCAATTTCTTAAAAAATGAATCACTAGAAATTATGAGATATGAAAATAATTGAGTTACTATAGTAAAATTTTTATTAGGATAAATTCTTAATTTATTTTAAAATAAAATTTGATATTCATATTTAATATTTTTTATTTTAGTATTTGAATATTTTATAAATAATCAAGCTCTATAAATTAAGATATGGGAAGCATGGAAAATGAGCACCACAAACCAAGCAACCTTTTCCTTCTCATTGTACACTAAGTCTTCGTTATTGTTATTCCTAATCCACGCCAACTTCTAATCATATTCTCTCAGATCATTAAGCGCTAATCAGAACCCTTTGTAAACCCTTCTGCTCTGAGCTGACTTTCGCTCAGTGCAATCACATTTTGTTCTTGTTGCTGCTTGTGAATTGGGAGAGCTGCAGAGGAAGGCCAATGGCCATGGCGAGCTCCTCCAAGCAGAGGACTTTACCAGCTTTCGTCTTTTTGTCTTGTTTGTTGGTGTTGGTTCAGTTTATGGGCGCAAGGAATCTCTTTTCCATGGCTGCCAACGTGACTTACAGCCGCCGCGCCCTCCTCATCGATGGCAAGCCAAGAGTCCTCATTTCGGGCTCTATCCATTACCCGCGAAGCACTCCTGAGGTCCCATCACTATCTCCATTACTGTCGCTCTCTCTTTCTTCCCCCTTATGTCGATTCTTCATTCACATTTTGGCACTGCAGATGTGGCCGGACCTTATTCAAAAGTCCAAGGACGGTGGCCTTGACGTCGTGGAAACGTACGTCTTCTGGGACCTCCACGAGCCTGTTCGCAACCAGGTTCTGTTGTTTTTTTTTTTTCTTGAGGTGGTGATCTTCTCATTTGCTTGTTTTCATCTTTACATTTTCTGTACAGTACGATTTCGAAGGTAGGAAGGATCTCGTGAGGTTTGTAAAGACGGTTGCAGAGGCTGGACTATACGTCCACCTGCGGATCGGACCGTATGTTTGTGCAGAGTGGAACTATGGGTATATACTGAAGTCCATTTTTCTCTTCTTTGTTACTGAAGTAGCGTTTGGTGGATTTGTTCTCTGATGCGTTTATTGGCTCTCATTGCAGAGGATTTCCCGTTTGGTTGCATTTCATACCTGGGATCAAATTCAGGACTGATAATGGGCCCTTCAAGGTTCTGCCTTTTCTTCCTTCTCCACTGTTTTCTTTCCAGTACAGAATGGGTAGAACTCTTTACTTACAATAAACAATTTACAGGCAGAGATGCAGAGGTTTACTGCGAAGATTGTAAATTTGATGCAGCAGGAGAATCTCTACGCGTCCCAGGGAGGTCCCATCATCTTATCCCAGGTGACTTTTCAAAGTTCTGAATTTTCATCACTTAAATTCTCTTTTGAGTCCAAAAGCTGCTTGCTTTGCTCTTAATTGAAGAATATGATACCATTCTTTCTCCTGACATTTGGATGGTAATCTCTGATAGATAGAGAATGAATATGGTAATATTCAATCAGCTTATGGCCAAGCAGCGAAATCTTACATAAGCTGGGCAGCTTCCATGGCCACGTCTCTAGAAACAGGTGTGCCATGGGTGATGTGCCAACAGGCCGACGCCCCCGATCCTATAGTGAGTGGATGCTTCCTTTTTTTTATTCCAATGCTTGTCTTATTGCCATTTTGTTTGACTTGTTAAAATATGTGAGTTATGTTTATCTGTGTACCAATTTGAGCTACTCATTTGCAATACAGATAAATACTTGCAATGGATTTTACTGCGATCAATTTACACCAAATTCTGCTAATAAGCCCAAGATATGGACAGAAAATTGGAGTGGATGGTATGAGTTGGTCATTCCCTTTCTAATTTCTATCCTGGTTTTATACAGTTTTCCACTATTTAATTACTTTGAAACTTTTTCTATAAAGGTGTATTTGGCTGATTATCGTTATAATTTTAAGTTTTTCGTTAGTGATTGCATAGTTTCTAAGTTCCTCCATGCAATTTCAGTTAATCTCATCCTCTGATAACTAGGTTTCTCTTATTTGGTGGTCGAGCACCATATAGACCGGTCGAAGACCTTGCATTTGCTGTTGCACGGTTTTTCCAGCGCGGTGGTACTTTTCAGAATTATTACATGGTAGTGTATTTTCTATTTGCTATTCTTTTGAAATTAAAGCATCACCAGCTCAGCTTGTTAGCTCATTGCATTTTCTATGCTCTTCATTCTTCGTTTTCAGTATCATGGAGGAACAAACTTTGGTCACAGTTCAGGTGGTCCTTTCATTGCCACCAGTTATGATTATGATGCTCCTATTGATGAGTATGGTAAGCTTATAATACATTAGTCCTTTTATTAGTAGTGATAATTGCCTTTGTGCTGAATGTTGGCCATTAAAAGAGAAGCATAATACTAAATTAAGTATTGCAGAGATGAGGATGCTCATGTGGATGAGTGGATTTACCCTTAGAGACAGGATACGAAATGAGCATATACGTGAAAAGGTTGGAGTAGCTCCAATGGAAGATAAGATTAGAGAGAGTCGCCTTAGATGGTTTGGTTACATAAAACGATGGCCTTCTAATGACCCAATTAGGAAATTAGAGGTATTAGATTTGACTTATATTAAGAAAGGTAAAGATAGACCTAAAAAGACTTGGTTAGAAGATATTAGAAATGATTTTTATTTATTAGATTTAAACGAGAATTTGACTTTTAGCAGGACACAATGAATAAAAATGATTCATGTAGTTGACCCCTCGTAGTGGGACAAATGCTTGATGTTGTTGTTATTGGTAATTGCTTTGTGCCTTTTATTCTTCTAGGGGTTTTACTTATTTTGTTCTGACTATAATTCGTGCTTCTGTGTACCCAATCTATGTGGCCTAGTCTTATTTGATGATGTCTTCATCTTAAATGAACATATAGTGTTCAAACAAATTAGTTTGACTTTTCTTTATGGTTTGCACTTGTAGGTTTTAACCTATTAAAAAGCTATTACTAATTCAGATTCATTGGAAGGCAAAAAAATCATTTAAATACAAAAGGTGATTTTCTTCCTAGTGGGAGAAAAGTAGTTGTGGCAGTGAGAACATCATCTTTTAAATTGATTTTAATGGTTTTCTACCAAATTCTTAATAGGGCCTAGCAATTTAGAATCCCGTCATCTCATTCTGAATAATTAAGCTTAGAATTAGGTGGTCAAAAAATTTGATGGGTAAGCATTAGTAATTATGGACTGACCCTAAACCCACATTAAGATTGCATCGAAGAGAATCATTGTCTTTTAATGGTAAGTATTAGTTGCTTTTCTAACAAATTCTCTATTGTGCCTATCAATCTAGAGCTGCTCCAACTAAGCTTACAATTAGATGATTAACAATTTTGAAGCGGATACGAAGTGACTGGCATTAATAGTTGTGGGGTGACCAAAGAGTTTTCAATTACGTTAGTGTTAAAACAATGATCAATATTTAGGTATTAACTTTTTTTTAATTGAATATATTGATGCTTATAAAAAAATGTTTGAAATAAAGTATCATAGGGTTTAATAGACGCATAATTTTAATATATGAGATTTCTACTAAAATAAGTGAAACTTTAATGAAGATAAAGTTAGAAAATAAAGGGATTTGTATTAGAAGAATAATGCTGAATACATGTAATGCAATTTTAGAAGAGGCAATGTAGGCTGTATTGGAATAATGGATTTAGGCTCCCAATCTCCCAAAATCTCTTATAAAAAGGAAAAATCATATTATTAGACTCCAATTTGAGACCAACTACTTTTGTAAGAGATGACGACGACCAAGCTAAAAAAGAAAAATCATATTATTCAACTCAAATTTGTGACCACCGCTTTTTTGAAAGATGATGACGACCAAGCTAGTTTACAACATAAAATATCGAAAGTTTTTTTTGTTGAGATGATGAGAACTTAGGTAGCTAGCTTACTTTGTAACTAATCAATGTTTTTTATTTAATGTTCGGCTAACTCTAATCAAATATGTAGTGTCTAAATCTCGATTCAAATTTGATTTTAAATCAATTTTGAGTTGTAAGACTTAGCTCGAAATGCATCTTAATTATCTTTGAATATATATATGTCAATTCAACTCAAGTTTGATTGAATTTCAACCTTTGGATATTCTTATTATCCTTTCGGTTGAGCAAAAATCAAAATTTTATATTTCAAGTTTAGCTTAATTGGCTAAAAACCTCCGTAACATCAAAGTATATAGAGGGCGTTGATGAACGGAAAAATGCATAATAATTTTCTATAATAAAATAAAACATGAAAATATTAAATTAAGAGAATGAAAATGATGTACTGATCCTAATTAATAAATAGAATTTTCCTATGGTGTAACTAATTTTAGATCTACAGTAATGAAGAAAAGTTCATAAACACAGGCAAAGTTAAGTAATTTTCAGATTGAAAGCAATTACTGTTTGGATTTATATTAATTTACCCTTTACTATGATTGATACTTCATCACATATGGTGCTATTTGAAACTCTTTTGTCACTTTTCTGTTTTCTAGGTATAATTAGGCAGCCTAAGTGGGGCCACCTAAGAGACTTGCATAAAGCGATAAAGCTTTGTGAAGAACCATTACTAACGGCTGACCCAACAAGTCCCAGTCTTGGTCCAAATTTGGAGGTATGCACATTTTTACTTACTACTAAAACATAACATTTTCCTCTCATCATTATGAGTTTATGACATCTTCCATTTGTTGTTCGATGCTCATTACATTATAACTTAAGTGGCCTCTGCTACTGTAAGCAATAGTGAGATCAAGAGCTTCTTGAAATAAGAAAAATTCAAGATGAAAACTTACCTTCAACAAGAACTCCAAATGTGGTGCTTGTTTTGTTGGTTATTACAAGAGATATTTTTCTGTTGTTTTCCTTCCCGGGTGCTTGATGGTTACCCAGTCTATCACAAGTGTTCCAGCTGCAAGTCATCATGCTTTCCACTTCATAAGACAGTTATAATGCCTAAGAGATCTTTTACAACTTGATATATTTGCTCAGATTGACCTAGTAAACTATATTCTGCTATACTACAACAACAACAACAACATCAAGCCTTTGTCCCACTACATGGGGTCAGCTACATGGATCCTTTTTCTCCATTGTGCATGTTAAAAGTCAAATTCTCATTTAAATCTAATAAAGAAAGATCATTTCTAATATTTTATAACCAAGCCTTTTTAGGTTTACATCTTTCTTTCTTAATAAAAGTCAAATCTAATACCTCTACTTTTCTAACCGGGTCATCGGAAGGCCGCCGTTTTATGTGACCAAACCATCTAAGGTGACTCTCTCTAATCTTATCTTCCATTGGAGCTACTCCATCCTTTTCACATATATGCTCATTTCGTATCCCATCTCTACAGGTAAAGCCACTCATCCACCTGAGCATCCTCATCTCTACAACACTTAACTTAGTATTATGCTTCTCTTTTACTGACTAACATTCGGCACCATAAAGTATTGCAGGTCTCACCACCATCTTATAGGATTTTCCCTTAAGTTTGAGAGGGACTTTTCTATCACACAACAAGCCCGATGTATTCCTCCATTTCAACCATCCAATATGAATTCTGCTTATAATATCACCATCTATTTCACCATCACTTTGAACAATAGATCCAAGAAGAAAAAACTAGTTCGATAATGGTCATAATGCTTATGCCATACACAAGTTATAAGAGTGGATTTGATTTTGTTTCTCTTCTTACATGCCTATGATATTCCTGCAATTTACTAATTTCATGTATATGGAGAGTCATATTTATTCAGCAAGCTACTTATTCGTTTTCATATGTAGGCGCATGTTTATAAGACAGCAACAGGGAGATGTGCAGCTTTTCTTGCTAATATTGGCACTCAATCTGAAGCAACTGTTACTTTCAATGGAAAGACTTACCAATTACCTGCATGGTCTGTTAGCATCCTGCCTGATTGCCAAAATGTGGTCTTCAATACTGCCCAGGTAGGCCTATATCTGACAGAGATGCACCAATCACTCCATTTCTTGGCTAAGTACAAGAAGCTTTTTCCATGCTAATCAATTCCTGCTGTGTTATCTCAAACTTTCTCGTTCTTATAAACATTTGTAACTGTTTTTCCTGTCTGCAATCCTCAAATCTTTATATTCACCTTTGTTGTTTAGCTCGATTATATAATTGAGTTTATCTGACAAGCTCTTGCTTGACAGCATTGAGAATCATCTCTAAGTTGTAAAATTAACCATTTGCATGCAAAGCATACATAAATGTATGTCGTATCTACTTTATATGACATGTACATGTTACCGATTAACATAACCATGCTATGAAATCATTAGAGGATAAATAAATTTTAAATTCCATACTAAATTGCTACTGCTATATATCAAGCATTTATGTTCTATTTAATGACTTTCCTTTATTGAAAGTTCTCTTCCGTTATCGAGAGCGGTAATTCATTACAGGAGTTTGCTTCTATGACAAACCTGAAACAATATTATCAAGTTCTTATAAAATGAGTGTGAAATATCTAGATAGTGTCTTATCTTAAATTTAATTTTCCTTTGAAAATTTAACCCATAAGACATCTAAAACTCTCCTAGCAGACAAGGTAGGGCGCGCAAATATTTGAAACCCACACCTTCATCTCCAATCCCTTGTGCAACCATTAGAAGGTTTCAAGAGAGTTCAGGATGGATTAGTTAGGACATTCTGTATCCTCCATTGGATGCCTACTAATCAAAGAAGATCTCTTGCAGGGTTATGTTTTATTAAAACTGTGTAGGAAATATTTTTGGTGGTTATTCCTGTATTCCTTAGCAGAATTCATTTGTTTTTCTATCATTTGGAGAACAGAGCAAGCTTTGAACTTTTGAATAAACCAACTAATTTGGTTTTCTTCCCTCAAATTGATGTTTTGGAGATTTGAACACCATCAAGAAGGTCAATATGGTCGCGCCAAGCTTTTGCTTAATAGAACAATGTATATTTTTTATTGCTGTTATGTGTGCTTGTGTAAGATGAATCTCTCATATATGTATAAACTATGAATGGGTGATTAGTTAGTTGGTAGTTTTGCTCTTTGGAAATTGTTTTTGCCCCCCCCCCCCCCCCCCCCCACCACACAATACATTGCCCCCCCGCCCCGTAAAAAAAAATTGTTATATTATTGTTGAGGTAATTTGTCCACCTTAATTTATTTTAGTCTTTATTACAAGGGTTTTTAGGCAATTGCCCCTCCCCCTCCCCTAAAAGTTTTAAAATATTATGGTCTTTAGGCAATTGCCCTCAACAAATAGCAAATATAATTCATCATTTTATGTATTAATTTGAATTCCAAAAATATCCTTACAACCTAACCCCGCGGCCTGACCGGGCAGGTCGAAACCCGTCAGGGGCGCTACCCCCTTGGACCCTTGATATATTTGCGAAGCGCACGACAATTAAGGATATGAACAAATAGGGGTCACTATTGACCCATTTTCTTGAAGTGAAGGCTCGAGCTAAATTCGAGGCAATACCAACAGTTACTTATAAGTTTCCCTGCCCTGAAAATTAAGGCTGGTTCCGCCCCTGACTATAATTACTAATATTTCCAAGAAAATTTGTTTGGGTGATTATAAGTAGATCCCTATGTATAAGGACAGATCAACTAAGCATCTTATCATCTGATGATTAAGGTGGTATATATGGACATATCAGCCATCATTATGTCTGCTTGGGCTCATTACTAGTTGGATTGTTCACTATCTTCTTGGTTTGTCTCTATCATTTCTTTATTTCTTTTATGTTCTACAACTTCTTTCCACTTTCTAAAAGTATTATTTTCATCCCTTTCCCTTGATTTTGCTAATTCTCTGAAGTCAACTGCAACCCGGTAGATCTTCATGAATAACTAAAATCATTATTATATAATTTATTGACAGATTCAGAGAGGCAGTTTTTCTACACCTGCTCATTCCCAATTATATGCTCCTATTATTCTATTTGTCTCTCGACCTTCATTGCCTTTACATTCTACAACATAATTTCTCTTCTCCTTCATGCTCTTTAATAAATTCAAGGTTAGGGAACAAATTTTTTGCATGCCAATTGCGACACACTGCAAAAGCTTCTTAAAAACTGTATTTAAAAAATGCTTATTTTGTTGCAGATCAACTCTCAAGCTACCACTGTGGAAGCTTTATATCTGACCTCTGAAACTCAGGCTTCAGATAAAGCAACTGCTTCCTCTATTGTTTCACTATCAGATTGGACTTTTGTTAATGAGCCCGTTGGTATATCAAAGAGCAATGCCTTCAAACAAAAAGGGTTACAGGAACAGATAAACACCACTTCTGACAGTAGTGATTATCTCTGGTATTCAATAAGGTGAACTTGACGTTTTCTTTGTTGAAGACTACTCTTATTACTATTTTTTGTTTACATTGGTAACTTATGTGTAACTAATGTTTTGCAGTATTGACATAAATGGAAATGAATCTTTTCTTAGTAGCACGTTACAATCAACTCTCCATGTAGAATCACTTGGACATGTCCTCCATGTTTTCGTTAATGGGAATCATTCAGGTGAGAAAATTTGGGATAAGAAAGAAATTCAGTGGTGCAATGAATGTTAGATTAAGAGTTTTCTAATTCTTACAAGAATTTTATTCATATAAGATTAAAGTTATCACTTTCTTACAAGAACTCGCAACATGCATTATAAGATCTGTAACTCTTGCAAGAACTAGTATTCCAAATTATGTAAAAGAAATCAAAACTAAACATGAATTTACATAAGTCTTAAATCCACATGATCTTAACAAGATGATTTTCACAAGCTTTTAATCGGAAGAAAACATACTTTGATTCATGTTGAATTCATTGAATTCCGAACTACGGTTTCTCTCCCTTTTCCCTTTCATTTTCTTCTTTCATGAGTTAATTCTCTATGAAACAAACTAACTCCCATCATGAGAGAGAGAGGACCGGTAGTTATTTCCTACGAATTAGTTATAATAACCGCTCATAGGAGTTATTTGATCAGATGGTCCATAAACGATTGATCAAATTATCTCTTTTTGACCAAGAGGATTTAAATATAAATAATTAAATTTCAATAATTCAAATATATGGGTCACTTAATGATTTATATAATTAAATATATATAGACTTAAATAATTATTATGATATCTCGCATAATTATTATATTTAATTATTCTAACAATGAAAACTAGGTAGACAGTTGTTCCTTTCACTAATGTAAATTGTAATTCAGCCCATTATTACCCAGTAGCACAGCATGTTTACAATGGAGCTTCCTAAATATGCTAAAAACCCTTCTTTATCCAATATTATTAACTAGGCCAAATTATTCATGAGCTAATTTGTCATCGGCTGCAGGAAGTGCACAAGGGACAAAAATTACCTTTGATAAGCCCATTTTTTTCACTCAAGGAAGCAATAAAATTGATCTCTTGAGTGCAACGGTTGGCTTACAGGTAATTTGTGCAATTATAAGCAAGAAAGAAATTATTACGTTATTATCATCTTTTCTTGATGTAATAGTAGCATTCATAATGTTTCTATGTCTTGAACATGTTGATTAGTAATTTTGATGCTGTAATTTTCTTCTTTTGGAGATTAGTCTCGAGATATCAGGAGCAATTGGCACCTGGCAGAGATGGAGGTTTTCTTATGATAATTTGATTTTTTTTTCTCCTTTTTTTCTCAGAACTATGGAGCATTTTTTGACCTCACTGGTGCTGGAATTACTGGTCCTGTACAGCTTAGGGGACAAAGTGGCACCCTGGATTTATCTTCTGCAGAGTGGACATATCAGGTTTGTTTCTTAATGATCAAATATCACAATCCGCAAAACAATATGTATGATTCTCTTTCTATTGAGAAACCGGGGTGATTTTGTTATTCTTGTCACAATTTGGGTCCAGCATCTAGCTCTTCAAAGAAGTTATATTTTTCTAGACTCAACACTTTTTCTATATCATACTTGCAATTGAAAGTTTATCTTTGATTCAGGCTTTGTTTGGGATGGCTTTCTTGCTGCTACTTAAAACAATTTTCTAGTAAAAAATTAAATTTTTTTTATTAAAAAGCTGCTTTAAGGAGCAAGAAAGCCGTCCCAAACAAAGCCTCAGTATTGGCTCAAAAAGCTGAAGTGCTTTTCTATTTTTCCATGGAACTTATATAATCCCCATCCTTGTGCATTTATTTTGCACTGATTAATTGCCCTTTTGCAAATGCAGGTTGGTCTTAAAGGAGAGGAGTCAGGGTTGTATGGCAGTTCTGTGAATTCATCAGAATGGGTCTCACTTCCTAGCATTCCAAAAAATCAACCATTGATCTGGTACAAGGTAAACTTTGGGAATTTGTATCAGAATGATAACCCTGGGCCTGTCATCTTCCTTGACTTGGATGTATTTGTATGAATTATAGCTAATATTATCAATTTAATGACATGCCTCCATTCTATGGAAAATTTTGTTTCTTTGTTAGCTTAAAAAAATGATGAAGTAGATGGGGGATATTATTAGTAGAATTCAAATTGGATGGTTAATGTGGAGGAATGTATCGGGCTTGTTGTGCGATAGAAAAGTCCCCCTCAAACTTAAGGGAAAATTCTATAAGATGGTGGTGAGGCCTGCAATGCTTTATGGTGTAGTATTTTGGTCATTAAAAGAGAAGCATAATATTAAGTTCAGTGTTGTAGAGAGGAGGATACTCATGTTGATGAGTGGCTTTACTCTTAGAGACGGGATATGAAATGAGCATATATGTCAAAAGGTTGGAGTAGCTCCCATGGAAGATAAGATTAGAGAGAGTTGCCTAAGATGGTTTGGTCACATAAAACTGCAGTCTTTCGATGACCCAGTTAGGCGAGTAGATGTATTAGATTTGACTTGTGTTAAGAAAGGTAGAGGCAGACCTAAAAATACTTGGTTAGAAAATATTAGAAATGACCATTCTTTATTAGATTTAAATGAAAATGACTCTTTAACATGACGCAATGGAGAAAAAAGATTCATGTAGCCGATCCCACGTAGTGGGATAAAAGCTTTGATATTGTTGTTGTTGTTAGCTTAAAAAAACGAAGCAAGGCTGATGAAATTAAACGCCATGTGTCATGAACTTTCACTGCCAAATGTTCCAAACAGCAAATTTTATGAATTTTTTGAAAGCTCGTCTTCTACTCAACAGAAAACCAACTCTACAATGATTTCTGACACATTGTTTTTACTCCATGATATGCAGTCAAGCTTCAGCGCTCCCGAGGGAAATGATCCAATTGTAATAGACTTCACAGGGTTGGGAAAGGGAGAAGCATGGATTAATGGGCAGAGTATTGGCCGCTATTGGCCAACTAATATTGCTCCACAAAACGGATGTAATTCTTGCAGTTATAAAGGTTCTTACAACTCTGATAAGTGCCAGAAAAACTGTGGGAAACCTTCTCAACAGCTGTAAGAACCAAATATATTTCATCAGTGCTGTAAAATTATTCACAGTCCTCAAAATTTATGCTTTGAATTGCTCAATCAAACAGGTATCATTTGCCTCGCTCTTTGGTTCAATCTGGGAGCAACACGCTTGTTCTCTTTGAAGAAATGGGTGGAAATCCAGAGCAAATATCTTTTGCCATTAAGCAGGTTAAAAGCATATGTGGGCATGTATCAGAATCACATCCTGCTCCATTGGTGGAATCTAATCTCTCTTTTAAGAAGATAACCATGAATTCAACAGCTCTCCTCAAGTTGGAGTGTCCATATCCCAATCAGCTCATCTCTTCCATAAACTTTGCGAGTTTTGGGACTCCCTCTGGCCAATGTGGTAGCTTTAGTCATGGTCAGTGCAGAAGTGTTCGAGCCCTTGATGTTGTCAAACAGGTAATTGGTGAAGCTTTCTTCTTTTTAGAAGTGATTTAATGAAGCTTTCTTCTTCGCTGATAAAAACCCAAAAATTTATATATAACCTTTAAGTAGACTTAATCTCTGAAAAACTCTTATTTGGCTCAATAAGATAAAGGCAAACAGAAAGAAAAAAGTTTTGACTTGTAAGCTTAGGCTTCGTTTGGAATTGCTTTCTTACTGCTTCTTAAAGTAACTTTCTACTAAAAAATAGAAAATTTTGTATTAAAAAAATACTTTAAGAAGCAGTAAGAAAGCCGTTCCAAATGAAACTTTAATGAGCCGAACCAATCCGAGTAACACTTGAGCTTGCCCAAGCTCATCTCCTTTACACCTCTATTCTCTCAATTGTAAATACAAATGCAAATAATAGTCTCTCCTCTTGATTTTTATAGGGATGCCTTGGTTTGAAGAGTTGCAGCATCAGTGTCTCCATCAACATCTTTGGCGACCCATGTGAGAGAGTCATTAAGAGCTTGGCCGTGGAAGCTTCCTGCTCATGAAACAGCAAAGCACTGGAATGGTCACCATTGTTCACTTCTGCTGTTCCCAGAAAAAATAAAAAAATGGCAGCAGAAAGAAAATAAAACAAAAAAAAAGCATCTAGTTGTACAATAAATAATATTTAATAAAGATGAACGACCTTCAAGAGGAATGCAGCTTGAAGGTCTGATTTGTCAAGCTTTTTGCTCTGTTCTGAGTTCTGGTCTGGTTTTTGGTTGGTGATGGAAACATGTGAAATTTAATAAAAATCCAGAAAAAAAAAAGATCAACATATAAAAACGAATACAAAATTTATATATTCAGATAGTTATTGCATAATTTTTTATAGTTATTTATAACACTTGAATATTTAATTCATATAAAAATATCAATAATATTAATTTATTTAATCGGTAACACTTATTTCATATATATATATACTTGAACTTGGATCTTAAAGTTGGAGAAGTTGCCCTCCACCAATAACCAATCAAATAATGGTAAAATTATTATGTGAGGATACAAATGTTGTTTGGAGGCGAATCAAAATGAGCAACACACTTTTTGGCTGTGTATCACAGTTGTGTATTGGGTGACGTAGCTCATTCTGATTCACCTCCGAACGATTCGGTGTCCGCACAGAATAATTTCTTCAAATAATGAGACTAAAGCATGGAGAGATTGATCGATGTAAAAAATACATAGGTCGGATCTTCAATGAAGTTTGCATGCATGACCATTTTTGAATGGCTTCGTGATTCAAAATATGTCTATCACTACAACGGTCCAAAAGATGTGGGCTTCGTTTGGGACGGCTTTCATACTGCTTTATATAAAGTAGATTTTCAGTACAAAAAAAAATTGTATTAAAATGCTACTTTAAAAAGCAATACAAAAGTTGTCCTAAACAAAGTAACTTCGGATTAATCTTGAATTTGAATAAGAACTTTTTATTTTCTTTTGGAGCTTCTTTCATGCTGACATGGCCTTTAAGCTTCTTGTAACTTCTTAGGGGTTACCCTTCTCAAGCAATCTATTGGTCAATACAATTATTATTTTAGTATCAAACTACCTTAATGAGCTTATGAGGTTAATAATTCTTTGCAATTTATAAGCTCTAGATAAAGTTTTGTATATTCATTAATGTTGATTATCTTAATACCTTGTAACATCCACAACCAAATCACTCATACTTGAGGAATAACTCATAGCTTAGGCTAGTTTGTGTATTAAATTAGTATTCATTATGTATTAATTCAATTTTCTTTTTCTTTGCTATTTTGTGTCTATAAATAATATTCAAAGCTTGTAATACAAAATTACGGAGAATAATTATTTTCATTCAAATTATCTTTCTATATATGGTATAAGAGCAGTCCAATATGATCAAGCTTCTTCTTACTCTCATGGTTGATTCCCCTCAAGGGCCTCAACTAGTGGCGTACGAGTAGAATCAAGTCGAGAATCTGCCTAATCGAGCTAAGCTTGTTTAACTCTTGCTAAGCTAGAGCACGACTCACTCGAAAATTATTAGGCTTGAGCTTGGCTCGTTTACTCGAGTTTGTGAGAAAGCTCGAGCTTGACTCGTAAAACAATTAAAAATATTTAGTATAATTTATTATATTATTTTAAAATTATATTTAAATAAATTTTAATTTAAACGAGCGGCTCAATAAGTTTATGAGTCGAGCTTAGCTAAGCTTGAACTCGAGCTCATATAATATGTGAGATTGACTATAGGCTCAAGTTCGAACTCGTGGCTCGATAAACTTGATTCATGAACTTATTAACGAGTTGAGCTCAAGCTGACTCGGTTCACTGACACCATAACCTCAACTATCTCCAACAACCTTAATGTTTATATTATTTTTTACCCATTTGATAAATCTCAAGCCCTTATCACAATCGACATAAACACACAAATCAAGCTTACTTCTTTTAACTACTCAACATGACAAAACACTAATGACTGCTCAGTTCCCAATCCTCCTATTTATTGTAGAGATATCAAAGATCAACTCATTCTTAGGCTTCATTTTAAATGGCTTTCTTATTCTTTTCTAAATTGATTTTTTAGTAAAAAAAAACTTATTAAATTGAAATTTTTTATGTTAGAATATTGCTTTAAGAAGCGCCAGGGCTGCAAACGAACCGAGCCGAGCCGAGTATGCGAGTGTTCATGTTTGTGTTTGTTTATTATTAGCTTGTTCAAGTTCGGTTCGTGTTTGATTCGAACTTTATTGTTTGTGTTCATGTTTGGTTCGTTTAAATTCATGGTGTTCATTTTTGTTTCATGTTCTATTCATGTTCGCTTCGTTTAGTGCTTATCAAACTTTAAACAAACAAGCTTTAACGAGTTCGTAAACATATTTAACAATTTTTTTAAACCATCAAACAAACATGTTCTTGAACAAATCTAACGAGTTTTCTTGAGGTATCAGATGCGGATCTTACGATGTAATATAATAAATTAGTAATGATAAAGAAATTAAAACTACAATATATATTATAATATTTAATTACTTTAAAATTTATTAATTAAAATAATTATATCATTATGTTATAATAAATTAAAATATTTATATTATATATATTTATCAATTTTATAATTAACTATTAATCAAGTTTTTGTCGAGCTTATTCATGACTTCTGAATTGAACACAAATCGAGCTTCTTATCGAGTTTAATGTCGAGCATGTTCAGGAGCTTCAAATGATATTGTCCGTGAACATAAATGAATAAAACACATTAATGTTCAAGCTTGTTTATTTATGGATCAAGTATTAAAAATGATGTTCAAGTTTGTTTGTTTAGTTAGTTAAACGATCACAAACGAGCTTTTAATCGAACTGAGCAACGAGTAGCTCATCGAACGTTTGGTTCGCCCTAATAAGCGATAAAAAAAATTGTCTCAAATAAAACTTAAGAGAAGATCTTAAAAATATAACAATAATAATATATTTAATTTCTCTGATAAAAAATAGCTAAATTCATTGGAGAAACGAACGACGAGTCTGGAAAGCATTGGGCGCTCCAAAAGGCTTTCCACGGATTGATCTGTCCTTCTTGGTGGAGATTTACGCAGCATTCCATTATCGCAATCAAAGTTGGCTCGTCTTCCACATAGCTTCTAACTATCAATTTTCCTGAAGTGGGGCTTTCGTTTTCATGGCGCCTTTTCGATTGTTTTTTGTTCTTTTTGGAATTATTGGGTGCTGGCGGAGTAGGCGGGATTCGATCTTGGCAATCAATGCTTCCAAAGACTTTCAAGCGATTTCACGGGGTTTGGCCCGTACAACTGTAATGCTTTTTGATTTGATGATCCCTGCAACCTAATCCGTGCACTCCAAGCCACAGAGCGAGAGAGGGAGAGTGACGGGAATGGGTAACGTGGGAAGTAGCGGAGGCAATGGTCGCCGGAGAAACCAGAGTCATAATCACAACACCACGGCCAGCCTTCCACCGCCTCAGCAGGCTGAGGTGCCGGCCGGTAATCGTTATATATTTGCTGCGGTTATGCCATACGGTCAATATCCAAACCCTAATACTCTACAGTACTACCATTTACCCCCACCTCAGACGCTGTTCACCCAGCTGCCGGCGCCGTTAGATCATCACCACCGAAGCAGTGGTGATCACCCTGCTTACCAACAGGGATGGAGGAATCCCTACAGCCCAGCACCATCGCCGCGGACTCCTGTGGTTGAGCACCAGAAAGCGGTGACGATAAGGAATGATGTTAATATCAAGAAGGAGACTCTGATGATTGAGCCGGATGAAGAGAATCCCGGCAGGTATCTTGTGGCCTTCACCTTTGATGCCACTGTGGCCGGAAGGTAAAGGTTATTTATTCACTTTTACATGTTTTCTGACGAATGGGAGGAATTAGTTTAAAAGACTTTTATGCTTTGACAAACTTTTTTTGGGACATTTAAGCCGATTAAAACAAACTCAAACATCACATGTACCAGCTTCAAACCCTAAACTTCTTGGTTGATAGTCAAAATTGGGCATGCTTCGACAAACCCATGAGCTGAGATGCGGGGCTGGGGATTGAGGGATTAAATGTCTTTTAAACCCTAAATACCCCTAAAGAGCTTGTTGGGGTCATAAAAAATTCTTATTTGATTGGTCATAATTTTTTACATACATATACATCTCAATTTAAAAGTATTGAGTTGATGCCTGAAACTAGACGTACCTGAATTGATGCCCCAAAATCTCAAAATAACATGTTAACCCTTCAGATAATTTTTTACGTGCATACATATCTCAATTTAAAAATATTGAGTTGATGCCTAAAATATGACTTATCTTAATTGATGACCAAAAAATCTCAAAATAACATGTCGGCGCTCTAGATAAAATTTGATGCATCCCATAGAGTTTGTGGATATATAGACCACTTGAATTCGGGATTGGTTGTAATGCCTTATTTCTTGCACTTTATTATCGTGTAATGTCCCAGAATTAAATTTAAAAAATTATTTATTTATCTTTTTAATTAATCAATCAGAGCTTCTATAAATCATCAAAATAATAAATCTATATTCAGTGAAAGCAACTAACAATCATATATATCAAAATATTTTAATATATTCATTCTCCTAAAATCAATATGTAATAGCTGGGGGATCAGTACAATTACAATTCTATCACAAGCTTCTTACTACAAAGAATAAGGGAAAGTACAAACAAAATTAAAAGAAAACTTGAGAATAAAACTCATTCTCCTATAAATCTCACTCCAGTTGGTTCTGACCCATTCTCTAACCTAAAATCATAAAAATTCACATAATGAGCATAAAACCCTAGCAAATAATCAAAAATCTATCACTACTTTTAATGCAAGGCAAAAAAATTAATATGAGTAATAAAAATCTCAAAAATCAATAATAAACTCAATAGGATCAATAAAGTCAAAAGAGAGCTATCAAACTATAAATATAATTAATAAAAGGAAGACAAAACATCTAGCTTTAATGTGGTGTTTTCATCCTTTCATCTGCTTTCTGTCATATTTATTTATCAATCTAATCTTATCTTTCATTTATTTATATTAATCTTTTAAGAGTTGTCACCTTCTATCCGTTAGTTTAATTCGGTCAATTGATTACAAGCTACAATTAAGATTACACCACTAATCTTTTTTTAAAGGAAAGCCCGTCTGCTGACCATCCTGCGTAGGGTATTACATTTTAAGAGTCACTTTGTATTAATTAAAGTTAACAATTAGCCTTCCTAATTTACATGCAAATGCTATATTTTCTATGCAATGATATATGAAATATAATAATCATAAAATGCAAAGAAATCTATCAAATTTGTCTACATGTATATACTAAAAAAAATCATAGCTTCCAATTTAATTGCTAAAATTTTGATATATTTCTGTCAAAATGCTCATATTGATGATATTTATCAAATACCAAAAGTTATGTGGTGAATGTTTGCTAAAAATCATGATATCGCAACTTCTCCAAATTTTGACCAAATTATAATGCATAAAATACAAAATATACAAATTATTGAAATCGGAGACAGGGTAATTGTTCATTACTATGAGACAAACAAATTTTCCAACATGATCGATTGACGAAAATCTCTCTACGACCTCTAAATCCCAAGTTTTTTTTCTCTCCTCACTTTCTCTCTTTTTTTTTCTATGTTTGGCCAAACGAAGAGGATTAAGGGATTTAATAAATTATGTGAATAGAAAAAATATTTTATAATAAAATAATATAAAAATAATAATTTAATAATTTAATTTATTCAATTTTCAGTTTAAAATTCATATAAATCATTTTGGGCTTAAAACTTATATAAAAAATTTATAAGTGGGCCATTTAATTTAGAAATTATGGCAAAATTGGTTTGCAAAACGGATGCCTGACAATTCAAAAATTCTCACATGAACCGATATGTTTCAATTGTTTAAAGATTAGCACCATTATCCAAAAATTACGTCACAATTGTTATAATTTAAATGCAATAATATTATTTTATGGCGAATGAGGATGACGTATCTTTAAGGACTAGGACTCAAAAAAGTTTGACCACTTTGACTCCCTTAATTGATTGGGTATGGAAGAAATCATCCAACTAATATAAGCTTCATCACCCAACTCTGCTTTGCTCATGTCAAGCATATCCTCTCATACTAGCTAATATGAACTAGGGGTGTAAATAAGATAAGTTTGAGCGAACTCAAGTATTTTTTAATCTCGTCTCATTAAATAAAGAGCCATAATTTTTTATTTCTCTTCAACTCGTTGACTCGTTGAGTCAAATACAATTTGTGCTCGTACATAAAGTTTACTTGAATATCATATATAATTTCCGTGCATGTATACTTATGAATACAAATATGCATATATAAATATGAATATACAAAATTTATACATATATATGTACATTGATGCATATAAACATATAAGTATACATGCATTCATGCATAGTTATGCATACTTTTAAGTATATATAAATAAAATCAAGCTATTGCAAAGACAAAGATGAATAAGGCGTTTTTTGTGTTTGGCCTGTTAAATATATGTGTAGGCTTCGAAAGTACACACCTTGTCTCTCACTTGGAGGGTTCTAAGAATTTTTTGGGTCAAATTTAGAAGGAAAATTATATTTAAGATAAGATATTGCTTAAAGATTTCACTCGTATTTTGCGAGGAATTTATGATATGGTTCCATACCACATATAGACATAAGCCCTTATGTTTAATTATCTCTCCTGATGGTGAGTGAGAACTTTTAATTATGACTGCTCATCAGATATAACACTAAGGGATCAAGATCCTATAATTTAATTGTCTTGGGTTGCCATGGTACATGGTCTACTTAGATGATGTGGTCGACTCAATTCGACCAAAGGATCTTTTTCAACAGTCATCAATTGTTTTGTCCAAAGGTACCTTATAGATTGGGGGTGGATATTTGTATAAGGGAATAAATTTGAGTTTACCTTAGCTGATTAAGGGCTCTATGCCTTATCGAGTGCATTCTGTAAATCATTACTCAAGAATTTTTAGTCATTGGTAAACATATAGGCTATGGCCATGAAAGTAATGTAATGGTGTCACGTGACATATTCTTATTGATTAGAGATTGTTTATGAATGAATTGCAACAATGCACTTGACAAAATATTTGCTCTTTATGAGTTGAGATTATATCAATTTATCACCCTTGATAAATGGTTAAGGAGGTGGTTAGATTTTCGCTTTAAATTTTAGGAGATATTAAATTTCACTATAAAATTATATTTTATTATTATTATTTTTACATTATTGGATAAATTTAAATCCAATAATAATTTACTTTGATATTTGGGGGCATTTATATATATATAATCCCCTTTGATTAAGATTCACCATCAACATGGCCATCATCAGGCACCAATATAGTAGGAATGGACCCTAATGTGACTCTCTTGTAGGTGGCACCGAAAGAACTTAGGCTTCTAGCACGTTATTCATCCCACCCCCAAGCCTCAAAATCAGTTTTAATTTTCTTAGTTGTGTCTTTAGGATTGAAATGTATTCATTATTTGATTTTGCTTTCATCTCTAAAATTGTAATTTCGAAAGTAACCATTTTTCTTTTCTTACTTTTAGATGAAACATTGCCTTCTATCTCTTATTGATTTAAACGGCCAAACTCTCTGAAAATCTTCATTCAATCCATGAACAGAATTACAGTTCTCTTCTTTGCCAAAGAAGGCTTTGAATGTAACCTTATGCCGATGAAGGAGAGCTTGCTTGCTCCAGTGATTATTTCATTCAAAGATGGCCTTGGCCAGAAGTTCAAACAACCACCTGGAACTGGAATTGACTTCTCATTGTTTGAGGAATTGGAATTGGTAAAGGAAGGAGAAACAGAAGTTTACCCTTTGGCAATTAAAGCAGAAGCATGCCCAATTGACAAACAAGGATCTGCAGAAACTAACAACATGATAACTCCAAATTCACAGATAACACAGGCTGTTTTTGAGAAGAAGGAAAGTGGTGAATACCAAGTCCATGTGGTAAAGCAGATCTTGTGGGTGAATGGAACCAGATATGAGCTTCAAGAAATCTATGGCATAGGCAATTCTGTTGATGGAGATTTTGATGGGAATGATGCAGGAAAAGAATGCGTGATTTGTCTTTCAGAACTAAGAGACACCACCGTCCTCCCATGCAGGCATATGGTACTGTATACTCGAATCTCTTTTTTTTTCCCAAGTTTCTGGAACTTCTATGTTGTCGAAATTTGTGTTTATGCTTACTACTTTACAAGTTTAACTGTGTTTGTGCCACATTTTATGATTTTTGGTTCTGTTATAAGGATAGATTAGATGATGACCATATTGTAGGGCATACAAAACATGTTTAAGGTATATGTTAACACCGTGTTTATTGGCACTTGTAGATAAGTTGAGACTGACAAATAGAGTTAACTTGCTTGAAGTGGAAAATAGATGATAGAAATAGAACAACGAGAAATTAGAGAGAGACTGAGAAAAGGAACTTTTATTGGAAATCCTTCATATGCCAAGAAAAAAAAAGGTTCTCTCTTAGTTTTTATTATATTGTTTACTACAAGCCCCCAGAAACACCCACCTTTGATCTGTTGATGGCCAAATGATGTCTTTTTCATCAAACCATTAGTTGAAGTGTCTCTAATAATTAATAGGAAAACTTCTTCTTTTTTTTGGAATGGGATTATCTACCCACTACCACCCTCAAAGGATGCGCATAGCGGTTTAACTAATCTCTCGGTGGGTCTACCACCCCACAAGTTTAGGGCCACATAGTTATTTTCTCCACATTTAAGGTGTTGCGCCGCATGAGAGAGGAATTGAACGTGGGTTGGGGGGTTCCCAACCACGCTCGTCCACCAACTCAGCTAAGCCCGGTGGGGTATTAATAGGAAAACTTATTTCATCCTCTAAGAAAGGTCCAAGTTCCATTATTCAATAAGTTGTCATTCATCAAAGTTTAATTAAACATAGTTTCCAAAAGTTGTAGCATTTTGTGACATTAATTAAATGATGGCTGTGAAGAAATCTAAATAACCATGCCTCTGTCTTAGCTATATACCCCTTTCTACTCTATGAAATATGGGATACTGTGGATTAACTAAAGTTTTTTTAAGCTAGTGATCTGTGTTTCTAGCACATGCTACTTTGTCATTCACATTTGAATTGGTTTTATTTCTCCATTACAGTGCTTGTGCAGTGACTGTGCAAAGGTTCTAAGGTATCAGACAAACCGATGCCCAATATGCCGGCAGCCCGTCGATCGGTTGCTGGAGATAAAGGTGAACTGCAGGGGTGAGGATGATGTACAACCTCATTGTTAGGTCAGTTCAGACAGAAGAGAGAAGGAGAAACAACATGAGCCACAACAATGAATGCTTAGCCCTACTACTAAAATCAAATTAAATAAGAAAAAAATTTGTATCAAGATATTTTAGCCAAAAGTTGATCATGATGAATTTCAAAATTATTGAATTTATTTATCTCAAAATAAATATAATAAATTTGAAATTCATCATAATCAATTATTTGATCAGAATATCAGACCATATTATTCTATTAATAGGTCAAGGTTGAGTGAAATTGTATATTCAAAATTGTGATATTTTTAGTTATTAGGAGACTGTTGTTTGTTTGAAAGAATCTTATTACTAATGGAAGGAAGGTTTCCTTAATTTGGTGAAAAGTTGAAGTGAGCTGCTTACATATTTAGTTTTTTGTAGATAAAATAATAATTCTATTTTTATCTGTGTTTTCGAAAATAAAAGCATGGCTTTGTGGGGTTTAAAATTAATATTAATTTTCTATTTTTGTCTAAATAATTATTAAGTTTAGCAATGTTTTATTATGTTATAAAGTGTGTTTTGCTCATTTTAAATAATTAAATGAGTTGGTGGTGAAATTGATTAAATTATTTTGGGTTGATTTTATTATATTTGATCTGAAGTGGTACAAGTGAACTGTTATTTTTTATATTTAATTTGCAGTGAAATATATGAGTTGTTTTGCATGGCATTATGCAAGAAAGAAACCTGGTTATATTTTATTGAGCTTGATGAGATTTAGGTTTCATTTGGTGATAATTTTGTGTTTTATAAAATAATTTTTTAATACAAAAATTTTAAATTTTTTGTGCTAAAAAATTGCTTCATTAAACAATAAAAAATTTATCCAAAATGAAGTCTTATTCTAGCAAAACTTTATGTTGTAATACACCTACGATAGCCTTCACATGTAAAGTTTTATTCGAGACATTTTTATTAATGCTTTCTAAAATAATTTTCTAATATAAAAAATTTCATTTTGATTTGATCTCTTTGTTATCAGGAGCAGGTTTCGACTTTTATTCAACATTAATATAATCTTCAATTCAAATTTCCTTATTAAAATAATATTTTTTTCATTTATAAGGCATATTTAATTCTTTCTCAAATCGAAAGGCTATTATGCAGAGCTTAGATAGGAACAATCGTTTGAATTATGAGTATACACACTGTGTATATATCACATCTATGAACACACATTATGTACAATGTATATACGCTCACAAATCCAGACAATTTTTCTTAACAGGTCTCTGCACAGAATAATTTCTCCAATAGTTGAGATGGCCTAATGCGCTGCACATTATGAAAAAATCATTTAATAAGAAGGATAAAGACAACTATCTGTTAATAATTATTTAATAACTAATTGAAAAGTATTTCTGAACATTTTACTAAACAATTTCATAAATAAATAAATTATCATTTTAATCAATCATATATTAATTAAAATTAAGATATAATATTATAAACATAAATATCCCAAAACAATATCAATTTTGATCATTCAATCAATTCATTAATACAATAATATTTTAACCACCAAACAACTGAAGACTTGAGAGAACAATCTTAACATGATTTTATCAAAATCTACTTTCTTATCACAACACGATTATATAAAGCACTCACAATATTAAAGTTTAGTTTGGGATAGCTTTTTTATTGCTTTTTAAAATAGCTTTTTAGTATAATTTTTTTTTAAATTTATATTAAAAAGCTGTCTCAAATGAAATCTAAGACAATGAAAAAAACAAATATTTGTAAGAAATCAAATAAGCCACTATATAAATATGCATATTATGCACTCACACATCATTCAAAGTAAACTTAGCCCATTGAAATTCCTGCAAAGGAATTCCTGAAGTGTTCCTCTTCACATTATTTTCTATCAGAATATCACAGAATTACTCAACAAAGATGTAACCTACTCATCTGCAGACAAAAATCTTACAATCCCATGCAAATAAAGAACAAAAAGAGGAGCAGAATACCTCATAAAACTGATGCTCATTACTTGATTTGTGAACCTCCTATCCATAGCTAAGGACTTCATCTCAAGATCACCATCTTGCAGCGTTGGTATGTTCATAACCATCGCAGTAGGCGCACTACGGTTTCGTTTGGGATTGCTTTCTTATTGCTTTCCGAAGCAATTTTTAGTATAAAAATTTTTATTTTTTGTACTAGAAAGATACTTTAAGAAGCAGCAAGAAAGCCGTCCCAAACAATGCCTACCTCTCCAGTAGCATCACCATCTCACAGTGAGGTGTGTGTGGAAACAGATCCACACCCATGGCCCTTACAGGCCGGAAGGCCTCGGAGGTCGGCATAGATTTCACCCTATACCTCGCCAAACCAGCATTGCTCATATTCCTCCATCCTCTGTTTCCTTTGCCTTTTCCCAGTTTATCAGTAGTTGGTGTACATAGCTCAATTGCATTGGCAACCAGAGTTTCTGGGTTGCAGGAGATGTAGCTGATTTAGACAAAAAAGGTCAGAGTAGGTTCCTCAAAAGGTAGACAATGTAGGATTCGGATTTTCTACAGTTGAGGTAATTCATGGCCGTCGGATTTCATCCGGGCGGCTGGGATTTAATCTAACACAAACTACAAGAGTAGTTCTGCATATTTTGCCTGGATCAAATCCCACCATAGAGATTCCGAAAATATAGACAAAAGATCAAAAATTATGAAACAAAGAGTTTACTTACACAAGTCGGCGTATTCGTGGATTAGTCCTCAGAACCTTAATCACCTATAAATTGTTGTAAAAGAAAGAGTAAAACACTGAAAAGTTTCGATGCTGGTTTCTATGGTGAAAAACTCGAGAATATATGAATATCAAGCTATCATGAGCCGGCTCACGAGCCGGCTTGAGCTCAACTTACTAACAAGCTCGTGAGTCGAGCTTATCAAGCCACGAGTTCGAGCTTGAGCTCAAACTCAGCCTCGTTCAGCTTCAAAACTCGTTGAGCTGCTCGATTAAATTAAAATATATTTAATAATTTATTTGAACTAGCATTATATAACATATTTTAATACTTTTAAATTAATTCTATATTAAAAAAATAAAAAATTAAGGAATTGAGCTCACCAATCGACTCAAACTCAAACTTTCTAAACGAGCGAGCATGTAAATTTTTAACGAGTAGAGCCTAATAAACGTGCTCCAGCTCAAACTTAGTAAACGCTAAACAAGCTTAGCTTGATTAGGCAAATACTCGACTCGACTCGATTCATTTACACCCCTAGTCATGACTGCCATATAAGAAATTGTGGATTTAGAATTCTTTCCTAGTTGGAAGTGTGAGGCAAAGAAGAGGAGGGGGGGGGGGTTTGGAGTTGATGCCTTTCTATGAGAACCTAACCAAAAATAAAACTAATCACTGTCACATATAAAGGTTCATGAGATTGGTTGTAAGGCATAGAAAGAAAATCTTTATTTTTACCTATTGAGTCTGAAAATGAAATCTAATTCAGAGGAAGTTTGGAAGCGCTTGTTGAGTTTCATATTGATATCAAATTACATTTAGCCATATAATAAAACCTAATAAACATATTTCCAAAAATTTTACTCTTACTTCAAGCATCCAAATAAAACGCAGGAAAAGAAAAAACACTTGTATTATAATCCTATAATAATATAAGGTTCCAAGATTTCAAAATGTTAAAAAAATATCCAATGCTTTGTAAAAAGAACCAAATTTTAAGCTGAAGCTGGAAAGTTACTCACAGTAGGATGAAGTCCAACCCGTGGAGGATCGACAATGGCAACAACTCTCTTGAACTGATGCACAGCTGCATCAGTTACCTTGGTTACCGTACTCTCTCCAGGTAATAAGTTTTCCAGATTCTGTGTACACTTGACACCATCGTTACTTATGTTACTACTACATCTTCCAACATAAGAAGCGTCTCTGCTGCCTTCATCCTGTTGGGTTGTGCAAATATCTGCTGTGATGACTGTTGAAGAATCACCAGTTTCAGTCTGCGGCGGCTGCTCTGAACTCCCATCGACATTTTTTCTTTTGGTAGAGCCTGCAAGCTTGTCCATGGAACTATCCTCAAAACACGGAAGCATCGACTCCGTGCTCGGATCGTCTGCGGCTAGCACGGAGGCGGAAACATTGACCGCCTCACTCAGATTAGCTGCATAAACATTGGCGGACGCAACTGTATCATCTTGGAGGTCTTCTTCGCAGATTATTTTATTTTTTTCATTTCCAACAATAACTGCACCATTGCTCCCTGGATTAGGAGAAACCACATCATGCTGCTTTGGTGCATCAAGGTACTCCTTTAGTATAGATCCCATCACATCCTCTGCCTATTGAGTCACAGTTGAAAGGATATAAGCACATTAAAAGCTCAAAATCTCTGAGGAATATTTACAAACAGAAAGGTACATGGCACTAATCTATCCACACAAAGTACATAATCATCTCCACATTTTTTTATTGGGTAGGGTGTCTAGGGAGTATAATTCTGGAATGATTTGAGAGGTGGGTTGAACTCATGCTTTGAAATCAAGATTGTGTACACTAATTTAGCTCCCATCACAAAGTGACACGATATTTATAATGCTTGTTTCATCTAACAGTTCAATCGGCTCTCATACCATATATTTGAGTAATGCATAAACATAAGAATATAATCATTTAAGTTCATGTTTACCAGCACCTGCACAACAGCCAAGATTAGATCGTTCCCAGGCAGCTCATAATCAAGATCAATTTTGATATAGCTCAGATTGCTTTTTTTTATTAGGATTTTAATCCAGATAATAATCTATATTTAGTGCTTATTAATCCCTTTAACAACTTGAAAATAATGCTATTAAGGTATTAAAATCAAAATCAAGTAAACTTATAATGAAACTTTGGCATACCGTCAAATTTTTAATAAAAGAAAGAACATAGTAATGGAGAATCATGATCAGACAGAAAAAATTGATAATTGTAATAACAATAACATTAACATCTGTTTTGGAACGAGTTATAAGAAATTAGAGGCTAAAAAGGAAAAGTCTTTCTGGGCAACATGGTTTGCACAATAACCTTTAAGTATTTAGGCTAATGCAAATGGAAATAAAGCAGGTTTACAAAATTTAAATGTAAAAAAAAAACATATCACAAAAAATGTTTCTAAAAAATAAGTTAAATATATCTAATAAATTAAAGAGGAAGTGAAATACATCTCAAAAAATAAACATTTGCATAACAATTAACTAGAGAAGTATAAATAAACAAATCTCCAGACTTCAGATGAAAATCCCAAGAATCAAATGCATGATTAGCTATTCATAATGCACAAACTAATGAAAATTAAATACAATCAAATTCCAATAATGCTTAAAGAAACTCAAATTAGAGAAGTGAGACAAAAATATAACATCGCTAATAGATTAATGACATAAAAAATAAAAGTCGTTGAAGCTATGAAGCACAAAAATATGTGATCTAACTAGCATTATACACTTAGATCTCCAATAATCTCATCATTGTAAGAGACATATATGATTAGGGTTTCCATGAGAGATGAGAGGAAAAGAAGTTGCAACCCAACTTTCTCCCTTCAAGGTCAAGATCTCAAGAGAAATTATAGAATGAGATGAGAGTGATTGGGTTTTATGAGAGAGAAGGCTTGAGTTTACAAGAGAAGGAAATACAATGAAGATGAGAACATTCTCAATATCCCAAGACTTAAGGGAAAAAATAAGGAGGGTGAGTCAGTGTTGAGTTTCAGAATTGTACAGGATAGAGCTTTAAGGTTTTATTGTCCTCAAATGATTATTACAGCTCAAAATATCTTAAATTTCAAGCAACTGGATCAAGATCCAGCACTAGTTACAAAAATATAAACTAGATCGAGGACTTAGGTAGCATTCTAACATACACGGGGAAAAATCAAGTAGCCCTTGTAACTAATACATAGATATATAAATGTGGCGCACACACGATTTATGTTTTTTTATTTAAATATTTGCATATTTGAAAAGCCAATGAGTTTATTTACATAGTTTTCAGGTATTCCTAGTTAAGGATGGATTAAAATCAGTCAGCAATTACTTTTAAAGAAGAATCCACCAATGTTATATAGAAGAATCCAGCAATCCATCTCAAGAAGACACTATTTGGAAAAGTTAGAGCACACTGAATCACAATTGGAAGAAGCAGAAGATTTAAGTTCTAAACATTGCGAAACCCACCTTTCCACAGATAAATCTGCAGTTCTTTATACCATTAATCTCAGCATTTCTGTTTGCATCTGAGACAGCAGACTCATTCATTTCAATTCCCACAACCTAATGAAATTTAAAGGAGAACAATCAAAGCAGTAGAAAATAACAACATTACAGTTAAAAAAAATCATCAGCATCATTTCTCTCATAATAACCATTTGGGAATTGGCTTTATGGATCCTTAAATTCATTCCTGTTGAATGATATGGACATATTTTGTACAAATCTTTTAAATTAAACAAAGCAACATTTGAAAGAAGACGTGAATTTGCAAATCCTATTATACATAATTCTTGGTAAGACAGGTTTTGATGTTCAAATATACAACACGTACAATGCATGTAAAAAACAGTGAGGTATGACTCTAGTACACGAAAAGCTGCCATCATTTTAGATTTCAGTGTTGTTAAAAAAAGCTGAAACCAGTAATCCAACCACTGCCGAATATAGTCAAATCATATCAAATAGAGATTAAATCTTCAAATACTAGAAAATGTTCGACCGAAGTTCAAAAAAGCTGTTATGGAAAAGAATGGTCATCACATTAATGGTGGAAAGGAAAGTTACTGCAGCAAATCAAGGAAAATAGGGTAGAACCAAGTGTGCATGGTTAAGTTAACCATCGAAAGAACAAAAATAAGAAAAAAAAAACATAATGACTAAAATAATAAGGTTAAATTTTAGCTCTAAAGAAGTTACATAAAACCTAGATCTAGAATTCAAGCGAATACATGCTGATATTTGGAGACTGATGGGGTATAGTCTTCTTGTTAACATCAGCAAAAGTTTGAAGTCTAAGGATGTCCAATAATTCTAAAAGAATCATCTTAGTGCCAATATTTAAAAACAAATGTTACATTCAAAATTATGCTAACTATAAAAAAGTCAAATTTATAAGTCAAACTCATAAAATGAAACTATGGGAGAGTAATGGCTTCTATCAAATTTGGAGAATTAATTTATATTCATGCTAGCTAGGAAGATCTATAATGAAAGTGATTTTTATGTTTAGATAATTAAAAAGAATAAAGAAAAAAAATTCATATGACTTTTAGTAATTTTGAGAAGACATGATTAAGTACACATGGACTTGATTTGGTATGCATTACTAATAAATGTATGTCAAAGGTATATCGAAATTATTAAAAATATATGATAGAGTATTTGTTTGTGTTAGAAGTAGTTGTGGAGTTGCCAAAAAGATTTCAATTACAATAGGATTATATCAAAAACCAATATCCAATGCATATCTTTTTGCATTGGCTATGAAGATGTCTGTTAACCTCTATGTAATAACCAAAAAAAATTACATACCTCGTATACATCAAGAAGCAGACCGAATCTCCCGAAATCCAGCAAGAAATCCCGCTGAATTCCTGTAGCTCGGCGCCGTTGCGTCGCTTCATTTCATTAAAAAAAAAAAAATTTCAAAATGAGGGGCTTGGTATATATTTTGTGCAAATGGCATATTTCTAATATATGATGTATGTTGAAAGAATAAAATTGAAACAATGAAGAAAATATTTAGAAGATTAGGGTTTAGATTTAGTAGTACTACAAGTATATGATATGAATTTTTTGTGGATATGACATCAGCAATTATAAGCTAGTATTTTTAAAAGAAGAGTGATATGTGTCACGTTTAAGTAATTTGGATCTATTATATGAAAGAATATGAATATAACTGAAAATATTATTTCTAAAGTTGAGTTTGCGCACTTAAAATGAAGAAATGCATGAGGAATATTATGTAATAAAATGATATCATGGAGACTTAAAAGATAAATGTAAAACTGAAATTAAATCAACTATACTAAGTAGATCTAAGTAATGAGTACTAAAAAAGTTCTTCACAGCTATGTTGATTGTGACAAAAATAAAAGTGTTAAAATGAATGTTTGGCAAAATTAGGAATTATAAATTTAAAAATGATTATTAGAGGGATGGTTGAAATTGCATCTATTGAGGATAATACAATTTAAAATAGATTTACATGATTTGGATATGTACAACGAAGGGCTGAAAATACACCCATTAAATCAACAGATAAAATTAATGTCGAATAAGAATGATTATGAAGGAAAATGATAGACCTTAAATAATAAGGATAGATTTGTTCATTTCAAATAGCATTAAATAGAAATGAATAAAAAAGAGCATTCATAAAGTTAAACCCAAATAATTGGAATAAGGCTAATGATAATAATGGATGAGATAATGTAAAAAAAGCATCTTACGGTGCAAAGAATTGGGTTCAATTGACAATGCAAAAATAAATCTAGCCGTTACCATTCCAACACGATGAGCCAAATTGAGACCAATAGTTCCAGTTCCACAACAAATATCAAACAGTATTGTATCAGGACTTAAATCAGCCCAATCACCCGCAAGGGAATACAGTTTTTCTGCAGCAAGAGTGTTAACCTGCAGTCTTTGAGCCATCAATAAAATGAATGTTTGAATTACAAAAACATTAAAGACGATACTAGTACAGTATTCTGACTTGGAAAAAAGCTGTTGGCGATATGGAAAATCGAAGATTGCTGATATAGTCATGAATTCTTGCTTCAGTGGTAGCAGTTGTTCCTGAAAAATTGACACCATCCACCTTGGGCAATTGCAATGTTACTAATGGGCAATTAGCAGGGGCAGCATTTGATATTCCCGTGTGGTCCTGAATGATAAGAATTAATTTGTAACATCTATGATCACTTTTCAAACAAACCATTAAAACAAAGATTGATGACATTAAGCTATCAAGATGCAGCATATTTTTCATGCATTAAAATAAACCCTCACAAGATTACAAGTAGATCTGACAAATATGCATGCTTTTTTTCCCATGATCATGATTACTGCTACCAGATTAGAAGCTATTAAAACCGGTTCAAATGAACCGGCAGCTCAAGTTCATTTGCGATGTAATGGCTCAATATGTAAAGAGATGCAACAAAAAGGGGATCAAAAGACTGAAATACCGAGAAAAGTTGGAGACGGATTCGGTCAGATATTATGATTTATGTGTTCTTATGAACATAAAGGCGAAGAGAGATAGAGAGGTGAGTGCAAGAGCATTTGACATAAAGAGACCCGCGTAGTTTTCACTTGGCATAGAGAGACGCGGGCAAGGAGAGAGATGGAGAAGGGGAGAATGAGAGGAGAGAGAGAGAGAGAAGACGGACGTTTGCCTACGACATTGTTGCTAATGACGTTCGACACATCCAACTTTCGATGCCTTTGACGCTAAATTTGATGCCATTCTTCGATGCGGCATTTGATGTCTTCGACATCTATTTTCAAAGGGAGGCTAGAAATCCTTTCTATAATTAGAGGTCAGACTTAATTAGATTTTTAACTGTGATTTTATAAATCTAATTCTTAATTTCTTTTAAACAATGAAGAAATTTTCATCATGAAGTTAGAGTGGCTTAACTGAGCAAAAGTTTAATTATGATCGAGTTGAAATAGAATTTAGGCAAAAGATTAGATGATAATTTCATAAAAAAATTTTGAGCAAGGCATTGGCAAGATATTCATCTTAAATTCATTATGTATGAAATCAAAAATTTAAATTTAAAAATCTTTCAAAATGCATAAGCTCAAAATTTATATTTAATTGAGAAATGATTGTATCAGAACTTTGAAGTGTAGGAAATAAGTAAATAAGGTATAGTGCTTGTGCAAATAGGAGAGAAATTTAAAAAGAAATTTTAAAGTTTCATTTCTTTAGAAAATCAAATTGATAAGAATTTATTTTATGTATCTATATGATTATAGGTATGTGGGCTCCGAAAATTCGGCCCCGGCCTCCGCTCGATGTTGCTTTTCTTTCGACGAGGGGAGTTTTAACGGATTTAAGTTCCAGGGTAAATTTTAGAAGGCATATGGGTTTGTAGATAAGACACTACCCAAAGATTTCTCCCTCACTTTATGATATGAGTTCTGGTTTCCTATAGGCGCAAGCCCCTATAGTTAATTACCCCTCCCGATAACAAGAGAGAACTTTCGATTAAGGCTAGTCGTCAATCAGATATATCCATAGATACGTGATATCAGGCATATAGTACCAGCATGGTTTGGATTTTGGAAGTTTGAAAGGTTGGAAATTTGAAGGTTTTGGAAGATTTAATATTTAAAATATAAATTTCACCATCTTGCACTTAAAGCGGATGGTGGGGGAATGGATGATAGACCCGATCAAGATCACATGGTTCTGTCGTCCCGGGCCATTGTGGTCCTTAGTCTACTTAATCAGAGGAGGTAGTTGACCCAACCTGACAGAAGGATCCTTGTCGGCAGCCATGGGTTGCTTCGTCCAAGGGACCCTTATAGACTTGGGGTGAATGTTTGTCTAAGGGGACAAATTTGAATCCACCTTAGCTAACAAAGGGCTTTGTTCCCTATCAATCATATCATATTGATTCATATCTCAAGGATTTGATGTCACTAAGGAACGTATTGGCTCTGGCCATAACCGCTATTTGTGGTGTCATTTGGCGGCAAAACCACTTGGTTCAGAGGGACCCGGGTCATAAACGTTTGTCTTGCGGTGTCATTTAGCGGTGAAACCGCCAGTTAGAGGACATGTACCACGTCCTTATTGGTAGGAGATTGTTTGAGAATGAATCCTAATGATATTTTCGACCAGGCATTAGCTCTTTGTGAGCTGAAGTAAATTTTAATTTGTCCACCCCGACAAACTATTACGGAGGGTGGATGGATTTTGGTTTGAGTGATTTGATGGATAGATTTCAGTTTTAAATATCTGGAATTTAGGATTTCTGAGTGTTTTGGATTTCATGAGTATTTGGGTGGAGCTTGAGATATTTGAAATTAACCCCTTCGGTTCAGATCTTCGTTCAACATGGCCATCATTGGCGTGTTTGGGGTCATTTGAAAATATTTATGTTTTGAACCTTGTCGACTCTATCGAGTTGTCGACAGAGGATCGAGTTTCGTAGGCTTTATGCCCTTGTGAGTGAATTCTCTTAATTATAGACCTTGAAGGTCTAATATGAATGTATTAAAACAAATATACCGGTCACCGCAACCGTATATTTGTTTGATGGTTTGAACCCTGTTGACTCCTATTAATCCACATAAAAGGATCAGGTTCGAACTTGAATTCACTTATTGACCCTCGCAACATCCCTAGACGTCACGTGTGTATTTATAACATGCTCGCCGGGGCCCATGCGGGTGTTTGGGGGCATTTTATGATTATTTGTTGAACCTTATCGACTCATATTTACCTTCTTATGAGGATCAGGTTCAAATTTATTGATCCGCACAGCATCCCTAGACATCACGTGTGTTCTTACAACACGCTCGCCGGGGCCCATGCTGGTGTTTGATTGCATACCCCCTTTTTAGTATATCTATGTGTATACAAACTACGGTGCATGTGCAGGGGGGCATTTTAGATATTTCAGTTATGCATGCAACTGCCATTTGTACGTACACAACATTCCATTTGAGAGTTTGAACACGCCTCTTTCCACTTTGTATGAGTGTTGTGGATCTGGTGGCATTTTGTAGCAGCTTTTTGATTGAGTTATTTACTGCTTTGTACAGGTAGACTGTCGTGCACTACTTGCATGATTTGTGCACGTAGATTATAGTGCACTAACTAATCTCCTGCTTTTGCTGCAAAAGATGACAACCGTTGGAAATTGTTGACTGTAACCGTTGCACACGACTGGATCCACATCGGACAAAACCGTTCCCGACCGAAATCACCGACATACACGACACAATCGACACCGGTCCCACCTCACAACGATTCGCCCACCGCCTCACTCACGACATAAATCCCCCTCCTCTCGTTCGGTTCTCACATATGCACACATACGCTCTGAAAATCGAAACCGAGGAAGAAGATTGCAAGCAAGGAACGAAAGAGGAACTTCAGAACTTACCTTTCGGCTCCGTCGAACTTCGGACTGGACGCCGATCTCCAACCTCCTGCTCCGATGTGCCCTAATCGATCCAGCCTTCTGCTCGCCGGCTCCTGCTCGCCGTGCCCTAGCCGACGCCGCCGACGCCGCCGACGCTGACGCCGACGTCACCGACCCGCCGCCGCTCCGACGCCGACCCCATCGTCGCGT